GCTGGCTGGGGTTAAACCATGACCATGATTTATCTCCAGTCTTTTCTTACCCTTTTCATTGCATACTTTTTACTTTAGTTTTCATACAAATATCCCGCTAGAAAGATTCTGCCTAAGCTGCCTTGCATAGTCTTCCAAAACCCTCTTTCTTAATGACAAAAATTAGATAAATAGATTTGGATTATTTTATATCTCTTCCCTACGTTGGTCATTTCCTCACTGATCTGGAAAACAAAACAAAAATCCCCAACCAACCAGCCAAAAAAAAACCCCACAAAAAACCACCACCAACAAACCCCAGTGTTTTTGCAATGAAGTCAAAAGTTGTTTTACCCATCAGCATGCTCACTCTTCCTTCAACTATGGAAGACAGGAGTTTTTTAAAAGAGTAAGAATACCTTTAGTGGATAACAATTAGCATTTTAAACAATCTGAAACTTCAACTCCTTACATGTCTTGATACTGAACCTTTTTCCTCACATGGTTGTAATGGACTCGTATTTTGTCAGAAATTCAAATTATTACACAGCCTCTTCTACTCTAAAGTGGAAAGATGGGGGCAAGGAAGGAGGAAAGAACGGTAAGTTTCTTTTTTGTTTTTCTTTAAGACAATCATGTCACTGTACACGATTTTAGTGGATGCTGGCTGTTCACTTAAATGCACTTTGAGCCAGCAGCTCATCTCCACCAGATTTTTAAAGAAACTGACATATTTAGGGCATGAACTCCAGAGATGCTGAAACGCGAACTCCCATATGAGCCCTTCAGAAATAACTTAGGAGGGTAAAAGAAGGAATAATTGATGGGGAAGCAGAATATTCCACATCAAAAGGGACAGGGATTAAGAACCAGACTTACTGCAAACTGAACACCACTTGAAGAAAGAGGTAACAATGTCCTCAATTTGAGCCACTTCACGTCATGTATTTTTAATTCAAAAATCAGCACGGACATGATTGATACAAGAATGGGGATGATTTAAAATTTCTGTAAACATCCACCGAGTTTACTTTAACCTAAAAAGTGATCTAGACTGCAGTAGCACCTTGTCTTTTATACAGCATTCCGGATGTAGTTCACCATTCTGCAAACACCCCTTTTGTTCATGCTAGTGACTCTTCAGCGGTGCACTGGCTTGGAGTTTCACAGAAATGACACTTAAATTTAGTAAAAGATCCTGTAATGACCTCTGCAGAGAAAATAATCCAGGAATACCACCATTCACTTGGTGGGAAGAACATCTGCTAATATGGATGTTAATTGTACTAGGAAAGATGATAAGCAAACCTTCAATCTTCTTAACGTAGGGGAATATATGCAGTATAAGTTATCAGATTCCTGAAACAGAGTTTTATGCAAGCCAAATGGGACAGCTGATCTGGGTCTTGTATTCAAATTAACCCTTGTGATGCAAAAAAAATCCCAAACTACACATTTTTTGTATTCGCAACCTGGTGAGACACTGAACCCCAGAAATGCTGTTATGTTTGTTCAACAGGCTTCTGCCTTTAAGAAAAAAAAAAAAAAAAACAACAAACCTGCACAGCTCACTCTTGTTTTCAGTTGTCTACCACAGACCAATAAAGTCACACTAATCCCTGCAAGGAGGCTAATGTGAAAGCTGGTTCCCATTCTGTCATCACAGAGAGAAGAAATCTGGTCCATAATTCAGCTGAATAATAATCCCGATAGAAGCAAAACAAAAATAATCAAAAGTTGGATAAAACACTTAAAATGGCTCAACATAGAGACTTTCCTGTGTTTTTTTCTCTAAGCTCTGCGTGTCCAAATTGAGTCTCCAATTCTGGCAGTACCCACGTTCACTCTCAGTGGAACAAGTCCGAAGTTTAATGTTGAGCTGTTGGTCAATTTCTGTTCGTACTAAGCAAGCCAGAGTCAAGTGCATCATGAAACACAGTGTTATGCCTAGATCAATTTCTTCATCATAAACCTGTTGCATACTTGAGCTTTTCAAAAAGATATTTCAAGCTGAATGACACTCGACAAAGGCTTGAGAATTTATTCCTTCTACCACCCCTCCAAAATAACAGCTTCTGGTCTGGTTTCCTTGAAAATTCCTAGAAATACTGACTCAACAGAACTCTGTACAGAAATAATAGGAAACACTAATATGGAAAGTTTATAATGATTTTGTTCCATAAATCAGAGTGCTTAATAATACAGCTGAATTTAGGTTTCCATTCTGTTCAGAAATAGCATTGAGTGTTTTTTGATGTTTAACCACAAACAATACAAATTCACAGGCTTATTCTGCAGTCTTATGATCAGCTGAAAGCAAGAGTTTCTTCTGTTTTTTGTATTATTAACATTTGTCTGAAATGTGTTTATACCTTGTCATTAATACGTGCCATTGACGAGCTCAGCATGTCATTAAAATGACGAAACAGCACGTCCTACATTAATATGGGGTACTTCAGAAAAATGTTTAGCTGCTCTGATTCCTTGCATAAGATGTAACCAGTCCCTGCAAATCTATTTTCTGCTCAACAAAATCCAAGTAGAATGCTACCCCTTACTACCACCTTGCACCCAGGTGAATTACCTACTCTTCTTCCTCCCTAAATACGGGAGGTGTATTTTCTTTTTGTATCCTGAGACCACTGAATACAACTGAGGAAGTTTGTCAGTACAGTAAGACATCCGTATTTCACCATGCAGATGATCTTAACCCTTCAGAAACTCTGCTGAACACCTGGAGATTTCAGTTTATTCCTGTCTGTTGCCCAGGCATCAATCAGTCTTTTGACCCTACGAGTATCAACTCATTAGAATTTACCAAGGCAGTGATCACTTCAGGTGCAAAGAAAACCCATAACGAAGAGATTCAGAATTAAAACCCAGAATACTTTACCACCAATACCTGCTTGTGGATCTTTAATACCATCTCCAGCATTCGTTACTAAATGTTGTTTCTGCCTTTGATAAAATCTTGGTTTGTTCTAAACGTCGCTTCCAAGAACACCAGTAAATATCTACAGACACAAGAGTGTTTAATGTTTCACAAGGTACATCCCTTTATTACTATAATCACAAAAACATGATTTTGTACAGGAATGTTTAAGTGAACATTAATCGATGCAGTTCAATTTGTTTCATAAAGATCAGATAAACGTACTACAGAACACTGTATTGTAAAGAACAAAAATATCAGCTTTCTGGCCTTGCAGTGCACATTTTAGTGCAAGTATTAAGACACAATAGTGTTCAATTCAGCAATGTATTGCAGAACATCATGCCACAGTCCACTTCAAAGAGGGTCGGGACATGCAGCTTGTTAATAAAATGCTGTAGTATATAAAAAAAGCCACATGTTAATTTGTAAAATATATAGTGGTTTATTTGGATGATTTAAAGTGATTTCACTATGGAATTTAGATTTATCCAGGACAAACATCCAGAGTATCTTGTCATTTGGAATATTCGTTTAGGCGATGGCTTTGGCTTCAGGTAGGAATGCCTCCCAGTATTTTATTAGCTTGAAGAGAAAGGAAAAAACACTGTTACATACTGAATGTTGGAAAAGACAACACATACACCTTCCTCCTCAAGGTAAACCCGTCTCCACCAGACAAAGTCAGAACATAGGTGCTTCATACTCTCCATTCACATTACGTTATAATGCAAGAAAAACACAAGTAATAAATACATGAATCTGCTTATAGCAGCAGAGCTGTTGCCACACACTGAACACAATACTACAGAATACAGTTACACATAATTTGTTTGCAAGCTCAGTTTGCTCTTCTTGGGGTTGGAACTAGATGATCTTTAAAGGTCCCTTCCAACCCTAACCATTCTATGATTCTATGATTCTTACTTCTAAGGGTACCACTTCTTTTGTATGGTTTTTTAATTATACAAAACTGGAGGGTTATATTCCCGGAATGAACAAAGAGAAGACTCCAGACACTCTTTTGGGAACAAGGTCTACTCCAAAGACACTAGTAACTGTTTTACTGCTTTACAATATTCGGTAATATTTTATACTTTTTAAAAAGAGCAATAAGCATTTAAGTATTCAAATCCTTCGTTAAGTTAAAGTACGTATTATTTACAGTTTGTAAATGAAAGTATTGCTACAGTTTCACAAGGAGAAGGTAAGACCCTCCACTTGCCTGTATCCCTAAGGGAGCTTCTCCCTTGCTTCCCTGAATATGATCTGTGCAAGGGAGCTGGAAAACTGCAATCACTATGTTATTCTCCAATGCAGTACAGACTGGAAGACTGCTATACGTAAAGCCTGTCTTTTTAACTAACCTAATATGGAACATGTTAAATATTAACTTGTACAAAACTTAAAATATATCTTACCTGCTGCTGTGTTTGCACTAATGACTCTAAGTACTTGATAATAACAGTTTTAAAGTCTTTCACTCGCTCCTTCTGTTAATAAATAAATTATGGCATATTAACCTCAACCAATTTTACTTGAAATGTCAGTATTATCTAAAGTAAAACCATCATTTACTTGGACAAAATTATACGTGCCTCAAATCTTCCCACTTCCTTGCGAATGGTTTTGGAGATCTGTTCAAAATCTTTTTCCCCTTGCTGAACTTTTGTCTCCCACTGGCAAAGGAAAGACATGCAGAGGTAAGACTTTATGTTGTCCACTCAGTTTATCAGTGTCTGAACTTGTTTTAGTGTATTAGTGCTAGTCACTCAAGAGCTGAAAAGGACCTATTTGGGTTTTTGGCATACTTAAAGGAAAGTCTTATGATAACAATTTCAAAGTAACAATTTGTAGAACAGGATGTCGTCAATTAAAACAATGGTGTCTCTGAGGTAATGATATCTGTGGATGAAATTTAAAGATATCTTAGTATTGCTATGAAGGAACATTTAATAAAAGTTTCTTTATAAAAGAAAAGTATCTCCATAGTGTTACCTGCTATTCCCTTCACAAACACTGCTAAAAAATGAGCCTAAACCTGTAAGCTTTCTGTGTTTACCTGTCCGTTCAAGTGTGGAAGAGTCTCAAAATTAAGTTCCCTGTACTTTCCTAATCACAGAAAAGATGATTAAATCTTCATCTCAGCCTATGGTCAAGTATATGATTATCATGTTTACTGGCTTTCCAGCCAGAATGCATGTTGCTGCTTAGGCAAGCCAGAGCACGTGCTTTCTTATTCGGTGGGAACTCTTTTCAGAGAAAGCAGGAGAAAAGTAGAAAATTCAGAGGAAGTGATGTTTCTTCTGGGGTTCTGCAGACTGGGATTGTGACATTCATATAACAACCCCTGCGTCAGGTTATATTTCTCCTTAGTTTATGGGGAAAGGCGTCCAGCTACACAATAAGAGATCACGATCATCTGTTACCTCGTAACTGCTTTTACACACCTACTATACTGTTAAAATTTAATCCAGCTGTACAGATATACTGAGAAAAAAAAGCTACCGGTCTCACAGATAAGACACATGCAGGCTAACAGATATTTAAAATGCAACCGTATCTGTCCATCTCAACACATGAACTGAATCGTGAGAGTCAATGTATCCATTAATACTTATCTTCCTCAGAAAAAGGCAGCAGGGAAGCAACATACTTCAATATAACGTATTCCTGCTAGCAATCCAGTGGAGCTAATTACTCACAAAAGCATTTTGTGGTGCAACATCAAAATACTATTGTGATACGAGATGAACATCATCTGTGTTCCAACAAATATCTCCATATTTATATTTTTATTTTATGTTTATTCAGAGCCCCTTTATTGCCTTTTCAGATATACATTACGAAGCTATGCAACGAGTCACAGCAGGGTGTCCTTCACCAAGAACAGCCTGAAGAGAGTTTTCTAACTGAAACAACACAAAACTCAGCCAAGGAAAAGGTAGATTAGAACTGCCTGTGCCTTTCTACTACAGAAACCAGAGATGCCTGAGTCTTCCCTGAAAGCCTTTTTAGGTCTAACGGGTCCAACATCCCAGTTTCATCATGCCCAAATGCCAGGTCTGTACGAACTGTCAGTGGATAATAGTCAGCCATCTTACAGTTTTTGACAATGAGGAATTTCCCCTTAGTCAGTAAGTTATTTCTATGACTGTTCTTTGGACTTTCACCTGCAAAAAGCAACCGAGTCACAGATGAAGCTCAAGCCGAGTAGGCTTTCACTCTGCAATTTCTCTGCCAGAATTCAACAACTCTGAACACGTATCAGTGGCAGCAGTAACTTTTGATCAGCACAGTCAAACTGGGGGTTTACTAACAACCTTCTCTAATCATCCATAGAGTAGGAAAAATAAACCCTTTGGGAACAACGTAATTAATTCTTTCAATATTGGGACTGAGACAGGATCACTATTTCGTACTACTTCCAATACTCAGGAAGTATTTTCAACAAGGAGTTGTTCACTTGTATTGTGGATGGATGGGTAACATCAAGAGAGGCAACCAGCCAGAATGTGGTCACACAAGAGTGACAGTTCAGATTTCCCAGTAAAGTAAGGCCTTTTTTAAGAAAAAGCCAAGTTAACGAGGAACTTCAACACTGTATGCAAAATGTATTACAGAGGGGCAGAAAGAACAAAGCAGCATGTGGTTCATGACCAATGAGGAAGCCAAACAAAGTAACTGCATAAGACAGCCTGAAATCTGCAATGATGTTCTCCCATTATTTAATGGGAGAATAGTGGCGCATCACTGGAATGCATTAGTATTAAATAATTAAGTTGTCCTACCTCTTCAATTTCCTTAGTGAAGCATGACAGAAAAAGTGTATAAATTATGACACTTCAACATGTTAGATTTGTTTTTACTGAAATTACACCATATATACATACACATATATATATGGGTAGAGATGCTGCATAATTACGCAAAAGATGGAAACAGTTCCCCATCAGTCGCCTCAGCTGGATTTTATCTTTAGAAGCCAAGAGACGCTCCTCTGCCTACCCAAGCAATCTGTTAACAGTTAAAAGCATGATTTAACTTGTCCATGTTCCCCTCCTCCCATCTCCCAGACTCTGTAGAGACAGTATTAACTGCCTTACAGATCTCACAATGAACGAGTAACAGTTGTGCATGTTTAATATTTTAAAAAAATTCTTTTTTAACAATTTCAGTAAATATGAAAAACAGCAAATGAGTAAGTGATTTATAAATAAAAATGGTATAAAGTAGTGCATTAATGCAGAATGAATGAGTTAATGCAGAAAGTCTGACCTCCAAAATAATGTTTGGTAACATTACCTCTTTTATCTCATCTTTAGCTTGCTGCAATTTATCAGGTTTGTTGGCGAGCTGGAGCTTTGCTTCAGCTTCACGTTTTTTTTGTAAAGTGACCTGAGCATCTTGCCACTTCTGCCAGCATTTCATTCGATGATCAAACACACCCTGTGAGGACAGATGAATTTATTCAACAGCTGAAATGGTTAGAGCTATCTAAATTCCTAGCAGGAAAAGGTAAATCTGGATAAAACTGGAACAAGTATACTCAAAGAAGCCTCTCTGTGTCAACCACATGCCTTCTTGTGTTTGACAGCATGCTGGCACAGCTCAATACCTTTCACATTCAAGAAGCCTTTTTGGAGCAGACACCTAAGTGCCCCAAACCATTTTATGTTCCTCATTCCAACAAAACACTGCAAAAACAATCAGTACAAAATGTATTATGCAAATACTACTCTAAATGCAGACTCTCGCAAACATTTCATGCATATGGATTATATGCATATTCTGCAATACATTTTATAGAATCACAGAATGGTTTGGGTTGGAAGGGACCTTAAAGACCATCCAGTTCCACCCCCCCTGCCATGGGCAGGGACACCTTCCACTAGACCAGGTTGCTCCAAGCCTCATCCAGCCTGGCCTTGAACACTTCCAGGGATGGGGCATCCACAGCTTCTCTGGGCAACCTGTCTCAGTGCCTCATCACCCGCTCCCTGAAGAATTTATTCCTGATGTCCAATCTAAATCTACCCATTTTCAATTTAAACCCATTACCCCTTGTTTGTTAGCAATGGACTACAGCAGCAGACTTAAAGTATACATATTAAATAAAAAAATAAAAAAATAATAGAAAAATATACACTAAAAACCGGTGAAGTTGAAAGGTATTTTGGGATAAAATCAGACACCCCTTTCCATGTCAAAGACTCATTTTGCTGTGCAGCATGACTTAACACCAAAATTGATTTTTTATTTTAATGAGTTCTAGATCACCAAAGTTTATTTATTTCTTATTTACAGAAACTATTGGCTATCTACCAGTAAGGCCAAATTATGTTCTCTGAAATTTATGAGCATACTGTAAAAATAAGTAACCTGAAAGAAACAAGTACAGTATGCTTAGACACAGCGGTGTATGGTGTCCCCAGATCCTGTGCACAATTAGCACTGCTCAAAGCGGTGATATTCACCATTTACATTTTATCTGAGTCTCATTAATCCATTCCCATTTTTGATCATCAACATTTTAATCACTGGAATAACTGATCATGAATGCATTCACTTTATTCAGCTAGAACTTCCGGCAAAAACTTACCCACGTTATGACGTGTGCAAACACACACATTCATCTGCCCTAAATATGAGTTGTGGAATGTGACTTTAAACACAAAACACAGTATTTTCCCTATTACTACTCACTTTTACTGCAGCAATGAGACGAATGTAATCCCCAAGTAGTTCTGCGAACACATAGAAATCAGCAAAAGCTTGTTCTTGATGCAATTGATCTATCTTCTCCTCAACCTCTGCAAGCTGAGACAAAGCTCTAGAGAGAGCGGTGTGGTCCTCGGAGTTACCTAACATGGCAGCGCTTTTAGCAAACGCAGCTGTGTTGGCTGAAAGCTCTGAAACACAGGAGTGATGTTCAGTACATGTGAGGTAATTTGTGGTATTACTCTGCAGCACAGATCACGAGAGCAGAGACCTTTGCCCTGTTTCAACCCCAACTTCGCCCACTGAAAAATATAAGCAGTATCTCCTAAAGCTCAAGATAAAACAGATCAGGAGAACAGAATGAAACCACATTTAGGAGAAAAACTCCTGCACAAAAAACCTCTCCATCAGCAAGTGTTTTGCTGAGCCTGTTAAAGTCACACCTACTGTGTCTAGCAAAAGACATGGAAAAAACTGTCACGTCGATATTATCCAACTGCCTAGTTCAGAAAAAATGTAAGCCAACGAAACAAAAGCCAAATCACCTAAAGAGCAAGTTCAAACCAGTTTTAACAGGTCTATAGCACAGTTGTTCCATGCAGTTAGGAGTAGAACAAATCCCAACTGTTTCACAAAACCACCACCCCCATGAGCGGAATTTATTTCTGTTGGACTGTTTCACTGACTAAAATACTGTTAACTGTCCATACTGTGATGTACTGCCACATTTTGACATGCCTTAAAAGAAAAAAAACCCACACCCCAACTGAAAACCCACCTACCAGCAAGGCTGGCATCTATGAAGGTACAGGTTTGAGTTTATTTATTAACAAATCCTACGGTAATTGTCTCATCAAATCCCATGTAAGTCACCCTGTACAAAGTTAAGTCCTATGAAGACCTTTGAACAAATGTTTAATCCAAATTATTTCAGGATTAGAAGTGCAGGTTTGTTTGCAACTCTGCTGCTTCTGCAGAATCCTAAGAACAACGGAAATGTTCGTAGAAGCAAAATGTCTTCAGATATTTAAAACTCACAATTTAAACACAGATACTAACAACAAAAACAACAACAAGCAACAAAACACCCCACAAATAAAAAAAACCCAATCCAAAACAAAAATCATGCACAACAAAAGAAACCCACAAAAATCCCAACCAACCAAACCCAAACCAAAAATACTCTTTTAGTCTTCAGGACATCTGGCCAAATATTTTTTTTATACAGACAGCAGCTCCTGACAGAGTTATGAGAAAGCAACTTAGGACATTTTCATGTGCTTTTGAAAGTGTAGAGTTGAAAGGTGACTCCATATATTAACATAATACATTAGTGTCAGAGGCATATTAATGGTCAGAGGCATATTAATGGTCTTCCTTGAACTAAAAATCAAAGTTTTAGTGTTTGGTGTTTTGGAAAGCTATCTTTGACAAAACAGCAGCACAGGTGATAAAAATATAAACTCAAAGTCTTTGCTTCCCTCTAAAAAAAGTAAACCAAAAGCTGATATTCTGACACTACTTATCTTTCCAGAAAATTCTACCTTAACAGTAGCTTGATGAGGTATCATTATGTGGACCAAATTAAGAACAGTAAATTCCTCCTTAAGAGCTTAAACTCAGTTAGCAGAGAAATACTGAACCAAAGGATGTTTAAAGGGTTGAATGCATCCATTATTTGTTAAGAAGGAAATGACTCTTGCCATGAGACCTAGAAATGCATTTACAGACATCCACTGTAGCAGAATCACCTGCTAGTTACGGCATTGAATCTCTGCAAGGAAAAAAATTATGCTAAATCAACACAGTAAATTTAGGAATGATAACTATCTGGTTAAAATTAAGATTAAAATAGGTATACAAAAATGCTAGAGCAGTTTCAACTAAAAGGTACAACCTTTTTGTTAAAGTATAGCATTTAACTTTATTAATCAGTTAAGAGCTCTGACATACTAAGCTCTTGCTTCATCACCATGTCCTAAAGTTCTAATCACTTCAGTTTAGGCAGCCATACAAAACCGAAGTTACCTTTTCTGTGGCAGACTAATGCTTCGACACTGGCATGAAGTTTCCTAAGCTGCTGATCCAGATTCTCAAATTGCTGCTGTTTTTCTTCAAACCACTGACAAAAGATGAAAGAGTCAAGCATTACAAATTAGATTACAAACAACATTTCTGGCTTTAAAGAAGCAAATTATTCACGTACTGCCAGGGTGGTCAACTGATACAGCTAAGAATTCAAGCCAATAAGCAAATTAATAACCCATTTTCTACTTCCACAGCTTTAAAATGCAATTGTTGAGGCTCATTAATTCGTCTCATTATTCAAGCCGAAAAATCAGCTCTTACTGCATCCGATTCATTCATCTTGATTGTCATTTTGTTGACAGCGTCGGCAGCCTTGTTCACCATCCTCAATATTCCTGCTCCACTCAGAGCCTGGGTGTTAACCGCTCTCGGCAGCTGGAATTGAATGACAAATAAGGGCAAACAGACTGGTTAAAAGGATGGAGGTTTAACTGGGCACAAGGGGGAAAGAAAAGGATATAGTGTTTTCTTTACTCCTATGTGTTTCAATATAGTGGAATCTAATTTCTTAGATTTACTACTTTTACATTCTCAAGAGGAAAACTTAAAAATATAGACTATTTACTTTTCTTCTACATCTTTACATTTAAATGGAACAAACAACCCACTTGTCCAAAGTTGTTATGAACTAGCCAAAGGTCCTAACTAGCCACCTATACCCTACAGAGAACAATCTGCCACTACAGGAACAGAAAAGCTTAGACGAAAGAAATTCTGTAAAACATTTAATTGTAATGCAAGATGTGCACTGTGTGCTGATTAAAAAGGGTGATGTCCTTCTGCTTTTCAATACAGGCCAGATTTCAAAACCTGCCTCATTATCAAGGTAACAGTCGATTTGCTTATGTACTTAGAAATCCTCAGGGGTATGTTATCAAACTTTAAATTTAGTTTATATTATTATTCAGGCTAGTCTGAATATGCCATACAAGGTGTCCCCTATGTCAGACCATTTACCCTTCATGTGCTGTTTTGTCTGTCAGCAGCGCTGACAAATCCACACTGTAAGTTATCTATCAATGATGCTTTTGTCAGTAGTGAGGTCTCTGTGACTTATTAGTCTAACGAAGATATTGACACTGGCCAAAACACAGTTCAGTATTACAGTGAATCCACTATGCACGTTTATAAAGAGATATTATGTATCTTTAACGATGTATTTAATATTATGAAAGGTGCCAGACGGACACTATGGGTGACAAGTCATCTATTCAGAAAACATCTAGCTTGGCCAGCAGCACTGCTAGAGTTTTCACATTATCCTACAAATACATCTCCAAATGGACTCCTAGAGGCAAGAGAGCTGCTTCCAAGCTAGTTTAATTCTTGATCTTGCTTAACAATCAGCAACATCAATTATGGATTTTCACCATTTATGACAAGCTGCACTCAAAACTGGACAGACCCAACTTGCTTGAGAACCCACTGAGCTTTTGGTCACTACTAAGTTTCAGCAGCAGCAGAGACACACTATTACCTAAGTAGCCTCTTCCATTCTGTCCCATGAAGGGTACAGTCCAATGTGATTTCATAGGAATTTAGGGGATTAGGTCTCAATACAAAGAGAATATACTGCTTGGAGGTTACCGTATCTAGAAACAAACAGGAGAACTTAAAAGAACTTAAATACCTCAGAACTTTCCAAGAACTGTCTTAAATCTGGATCTTGTAACAAGGTTGGATGTTTTACTGTTCGTTGTAGATACCTATGATTTTAAAAATCGAAATATTAGACAACAAAACAGATTTAATGTGCCTGACAGCATTGAAAAGTGTCCTTCAGCTAAAGAATGGGCACAATGCGGGACACAACTTCCCTCATTAATGGGGCTTGAACACTAAGTCACCTCTAAAGGGTCATAGTTGTTCACTCCTCATGCCTCTTCAATCCTTTGCCTCTCTGCTGACTCTTCAAACCGTATTTATGCATTCTGTCACCTTCCTCCAACACACACTCTGGCAAGTCCTACACTGTTACACGATAGGAGCACTGACTGTTGAAACATTCACTGAAGCCTTACTCCAGTAAGGCTGCCACAAAACCTGGACTTTCTGACTGAAATAATACAACCCCATGCACTCCATACCACGGCGTAACACACCAAAGGTGCAGGCAGTGGCTCCAAACATAGTTTGTTTACACAGAAACTCCTTAAGGTGAGACCTGCCGTAAGTTCATGTTGCATAGTGGTACAATGTTAGAATTCGTTATTTTCAACAGCTGAGCGAAGTCCTCCTCCTCCAATAACAGCCAATTCACGCCAGAAAAAAAATGAGCTTGTTTAAACATTCTTGTACAGTGCAGTGGACAGGCTTTTTCTTACAGATAATTCCGTCTGACTTATTTTAGAATGAAAGGAAATCTTGGAGAAGCGAGCAGATTATGTTTCTAGGTATGAACTACTTACTTGCTGGCTAGATTAAAGCCTTCAACCCATATTAGTTCTAAAGGACTCATCCACCCCCCCCAAAAAAAGGCATTTTTTGGTGTGCCTGCTTAGATCTAAAAACTGTTGATTGAACAAACATGGGTTGAAGAGAGAAATTTCAACGATATTCTTCCACTAAACACTGCTGCACATTTGCCTTCCACTAAACACTGCTGCAAGTTTGTCTTAGCTGATTTTAAGATTACATATTAATGGAAATTATGATATTTACATGAATGCTGTACAGAATTCTAGTACCTCAAAAGGCCATGGGAATATAAGAAAGTATGTGATATTGCCAATTAAGATGCAGTGACAGAATACTGCCAACAGCACACACTACTTTTTTCAAAGCTTTAGTTTTGCTCAAGCCTCAGCTGTGAATTACCAGAACAACCCTGTTACATCCACAGATTGCTTACAAACTGTCCTAGAAAGTGATGTAGGTTGGGACTTTTAACTGAAAGTCTGAATATACTGACATTGTAAATGCAATGTATTCTTTCCATCCTCCTTTAGCTATGGCCAACAGAACCTTATTTTTCTTCCTAAAGAAGCTAAGGGTTGCAGCAAATCTGTTTTATACATTAGATCGCTTGACTTTCCTTCCTTGCTCTATACTCAGTAGCCAGCACAAGTCAAAATTAATGTGGCAAGCAGCCAAAGCGATTTTTCTTTAGAAGTCTGCTGCTAGAGAACAGCCTTTACTCTGAGGGAGACTTCTAACATTTTTCCTGGAGACAATTGGCAACATGCTTGAGGACATGTGGCAGGCAGACTTGTAGTATGTAAGTTCACTATTCTAGGACATAAATTTTAGCCAACTTCACTAACAAGGTACACTGCTTTCCTGCCCCCTTTCCCCATAGTTCTCGGTTCAAAAAGGAGCACGCTGAAGCAGAATTTCTTTGGTCTGACTTTCTGGAGAATGTTAATATGTTTTCTTCAGGTTTAGGCAAGAGGAACAGAACCACTGCCTCTAAGTATCACTTGAGCACCTCGGTAGGTGGGTAATTTTTGATTCTGAAAGGAAAAGACACCTGAAGTTAGCACACCGAAAAAGTTGCTCCTTGCCAGGCAAGATATTCATAGTCTTTCTGAAAAAAAAAACAAATGGCATATACTGTGAGACCTTCCCAACACTGTCAAAATTTCTGAGGAGTCCCTTCCCTAGTATGGGAGGAGTGCTCAGTATCCACTAGAATACTCCTTCGACAAGTAATGAAACAGTAGGACTTAACGCATGCACACAAGCTTGTGAATTAAGCTTTATCTAGGCCTGTTTCTGCTGTGCCAGTAGCCAACCAAGAGGGAAACCAGTCATCTGTTACAGAGAGAGACCTAAAGTTCTGCGGAAGTTTCTGTTCAGCTTTCTAAACCCAGTTACTCTAATCCCAGCTGTTATTCCAAGGCCTCGTATCTCAGAGCACCAGTCCTTTAGCAACAGACCTGTGTAACCAGAACGTGTTTCGCAGTTCCGCCCCAAGTAGCAGAAAAATTTCAGTAACTTTTGGGGACAATTTTAAGTGGCTAATGTTAAGCTATATGCCAGTTTTCAGTAATGTATAACTAAGAACAGCTTATCAGTATCTTAGGTTCGGTGTCACTTCAGATGTTCTTCTTTTACTTAGGAAATGGAAAGACATTAGCAATGGGATTCTGAAGAGGTATTTTTTTGTTTAAGATTGATGCTGCAAGTCTGTAAGTTCATACATTATCTGTTACATAGGTCTCTCAACCTAAAACCTTTGACTTTCATGAATTTTCTAGTTTAACTGAAATTGTTGTATGGTGTTTTGTTCTCGTATGATGCAACTGCATCACAGCAATGGGCATATTATAAAATCCTCCCAAAATTAAGGGTGTGTACTTGTGGCAGTTCTACTATTTACTTTCTAAAAGCTTTACTAACCAAGTCAACAGGGGCAAATGGTGCAGTCTATCAGCGTTAGTGCCCTTCCACAGCCAGGATAATTGAACAGGATTAGCTGTATACCAGTCCCGGGTGTCAGATCCAGTATCTCTTATGCCAGAGTTCAGCTAGTCACCATCAACGTACACTGTGCCATCAGAAAGCGTAACTTTCAAGTGAATGAAGAGCTCCTCCACCCACCCCCTGCACAACTGTCGATTTTCTATGGAACAGATGTACTGCTGAAATGCCTTAATTCCTTAAGCCCAAAATACCTAAGTAAGCTAACAAAGAAAGTTTCACTTAGTGACTCTCTGAAATCTTAATTTTAAGCACCAACCAGTTTGAGAAGACTTAGCTATAACCTGCTCTATAAGTAAGGTTACAGTCCCCATTATTAATGGGAATTATTCCATTTCTACACAAAAATTTGGCAGCTGCAAACAGCCTCCGGAATCCATCGAAGTCCAGATGGCCCACATGCAAACTAAAGCCCGTGTAGTATGTTACAAGTCATTCTGAGGCCAAACAAGTTTTAGATACATACATTACCTTTCTAGAGCTGCTCTTCTTTTCTCTACAAATTCAGTAGATGAAGAATCTTCCTTGCCTACTTTAACCTTGGTCATGCCTTGGAAGAAAATGGGATCATATTGATTTTATTTTATCTTATCATAAATCATTAACAAAACTGATGTGATTAGAAGATAAAGCTCACCTAAGTTTATGTATTTAAGTCAAATTACAATGAAAAACACTACATAGGAACAGAAAAAACATAATACTACATGCTGCATGTTTCTGTGGAAGCAGCTTTGAAATATGAAATTTCCTATAATATATTAATTGTGACTAAATGCTATAAAAAATTAGTTGAATTTGCATTTATGAAGACAATCTCAATGAAGATCTGAGTCTTACTAGACACTCACGTTCAGAAGAAGAAAGCAGTTACCCAAAAAAAGCAGAAGTTATAAGCCTATTAATTGGTAAGCTTATGACCAATATTTTAATCTTTTTAAGTTCTAAAACTAGGAAATTTTAGTCACCTAAGGCAAAATAACCAGCTCTGAAAATTCGGAAGCATGTGAACAACTACAAACTGAATGGAGAACAAAGTTAGCAGAATGAAATGTATGCAGATTTACATCACTTCCTCTGCTCAAGTCAAGAGTGGCCAAAAAACTGTGATAGGGAGACAGAGTTATTGAGTGAGAAATACATTTTACCTCAGCAACAAGAAAACTAAAACTGTCAGACTGAGGTCAGTATTTTTCATGCTAAAGACAAAATCAGCGTTTAGGAACCTGAGTCCTATCAAAACCACCATGAAACAATCAACATTAACAATTATTCTTACTTCCGAAAGCACAGGAGAGGTAGGTTATGAACCAGTCCGAGGATCTTACCTCTACCTGTAGCGTATTCCTGCTCTGTTAGTTCTGTGCTTCTCCACCTAAGAGTTCTAAGCCTGAGATTCTGAATATATACTCTGTGACCTGCCAGGTCAACAGTTCCCAAAGTGGTTCCTCACCCGATCTCCCTTCTGGCTTTAGGAGTTTCACACAGTAACCCACGGAGGGGACAAACCGCATCCTTACAGGAACAAGGAGGGACCCTTAACCTCTCAGTGAAGCCTTAGTTTTTCCCTTCTCTGTAATATGATGAAAATAAATCCGATCGGCATTTTTTCAAAGGTATACTACACAGCGTAACGTAACGGTAAATCCACAAATTTATCTGTAAAACTGAGTATGTCTTTAAGTACACTGATTCAAACAAGTATTCAAGTATTCAAACAAGGGTGAGGTAATTCAGGTGCCTCATGTTTTTTTGCATTGGAGAAATACTACTCATTAATATTTCACTGCAGAAGGCATGAAATGCAGCAGTTTAAGAAAAAAGATACTTCACATTTGATAGCAACAGATGCTCACGGGGAAAAAAATGAGTATCTAATCAAATGACTAATATTAGGGATTCCCAAACTGTGATATTGACAGTTATTTCTAAATAGCATGTCAGGTTTCTTTCTCTGCTAATGAAAGACTATTTAATTCAAGTGTAAAGGCGTTTTCTGTAGCTCAAGAACTCTAATCCTTCACAGTAAAGGATCCATGACTTAATAGATTATTTTCTAACTCACCACTGACTCAGTTTTATCCTGTTGTTACGCCGTCAGTAATTGACCACTTGAATTTGTGGGTAAGGCCTGAAATGCCAGCACCTCCTACCCATCATCAAAATAAAGTTGGAGCTTAAAACTCCAGGTGTTATCAACAGCTTAACACTGTGTAACACTGAATGTGTGGTATTTCATGCTAAGGCTTTAAAAATAAACACGTGATGTAAACACAGTATTGCAGCTCTTTTGCCAGATCTCTGTTTTAAGATGCCTCCTTTTAAATCAGCCTAGAATCCCTTTTTTCCTCCAGAATCAGAAATGTATAAACTATGTATTTTTAGACATAACTAAATGCCACCTGTGCACTTAAGTTGAAATTACAGCACAAGATTTGTGCTCTTTGGAAAGTGTCCTACAGAGTCTGTGAGCCTTCCCAACTTATCTGTAGCTTAACAAAGTCTCTATATGAGGATCTGAGTGACAGCCAGTACCTGCTTACACTGCAGTAGGTCCCAGCATTTTACACACTTTCAAGTGTATCAATATTTATGCTGGTTTTGTTCAAGCGGCACCTCAAATCCAGTCCAAGCTAAGCCTTACAGACGACTGCGATCCAAGTACTGTATTTCCATGTAATTGCAAGCTGTCATAAATGTAGTATCATCCAAAGGACATGACTACAATCCTCATTCCATCTTTATAGGTACTGTTAACATTTTTAATTAAACTTAGTTATATCACCATTACTTCCAAGAACTACCACAAATTCAGATCAAATTTTCAATCTTACAGATTGAAAAATGCAGTGCTTTTCCACAGAATTAAAAGCATGGATTTCTGAAGCTTTTTGCTGCCTACATCTGCTCAGTCTGTTTATTCCTTCCTGCATGAAAAGTTGCTGCTCTGATTCGTTTCACAGACTACTGAAAAAAAAAAGGCCTGGCATTCCCTAGATATCAAACAGCATTCTAGAGTCCAATGACTTATTTCTATGGTAAGCAAAAAGACTTCACCAGGTTTTACCACCCTAAACGTTTAGTTATTTTCAAAGAACCTCTACCACTTCAATGCATCAGACATGCTTTGTCGTTCATGGAGAAATGATCTGATCCTTCAAAGCATTCATGAAGACTATCATCACTCAAAAGTGTTTTCTGAATTAGAACTCTGATGAATTAACTAGAGGTTTCAGCATTCTCCATGACCAAAAGGAACAGCCTGAAGCATTAGGGAGGTGGAGTACGTACGAAGCTCTGCATATTGCAGGGAACTGATAACAGCACAAGTTAAAAATAAACTCTCATTTAACATCTTTGTTTTGATAGACTAATCAGCTCTTGAAAGGCAACAGGGAAAAGAATGATAGCTAAGAAACAGAAGGCTAAGTACTAAGACAAATGTCTTTTATTATCAGCACTGGTCTGAGTTAGGAAGAGGACAGTACAAATCTTCCCATTTAACCTGAACTTTTTTAAAATACAGAACATGAAAAAATTTAATAATTTGGACCACCTAATAAGCAGTGAATAATGCTTGTGCAGTACAGTGTTTATTTTACAAGCCCAACAGGTATTAAATTCTTTTCAATGATGTGCTTAAATTCAACCTCACAGGCGCTACACTTACCTACAATACTTTTTTCTGGAGCTGGAGGCACAATGTAACCAATGTGCATGTACTTTGTTGCTAATTTGCTGTGCAAGCCAAGAAAATCACTGAATCTTCTTTTAACAGAGAATTCGTTTTTGTGGAACATGGAAAGTGATGTCTTGGGGGAAAAAAAAACAAACACAAACCATCACAGTTACAAAATAATGATCCATCTAATCAGCTATGACACAACGTTATCTGCAAATATTTGTTGCACTAGTTACCTTTGTTGTTACTCTGTATGCCATGTAAGCATTCATGCCATCTCCTGTAAGACAATTAAGATACTTATCCTCAGGCAAGTTATTTTAATCCCTCCACACACCTTTTGTTATAAAATATATATTAAATATCTTTCCATTTAGATATTAAAAACTGCCAAAGGTAACTGAGTAAGAAATCATTCTAAAATCTCAGAATAGTCTTCAAGGGATAAGACAGTCTACCATCTCACTTACAGTGCTCAAGGAACTTACCAACTTTCTCTGGATCTGATACGTTGATTTCTATATCAAACAAATCTCCATTTGCTTCCTCTTCAATCTAGGAAAAAGGCATGACACATATAATGAGGTACTGCGCATTCGTGTTATGTCTGATCACAAGGATAAGGGTATAGAGGAAGGAGGCAGAAAAGTCAGTAGGTCTGTATAAAAAGAACCTCTTCCAGACCCACCAACTAATGTTAAGTGAATACAATTTCCGACACTGACTGTGACTGCCATAAAGTTCATGTGGGACGTGGCAGTGTCAGGTTTACAGACAGACTATGATCTTAAAGGTCTTTTCCAACCTAAATGGTTCTATGACCCTATGATTTTAGTTTTAAGCCTTCCTGCAAAAGCTTTTAGTATGGCAGCCTTTTCTCAGGACTTGTAGGCCTCAAAATTTTTAGTTAATATTTATCTTAGGAGTATGCTTACTATATCTCCTACAATGCCAGCAGATACTGTAGTTTAAACCAGTTTCATTTGTGATGTTCCTATATGCCTCTAATCGAAGGACAGATACTCTTTTTTATTAATGGTATCTGTAGCAGAAGAGGGAAAGGGAAAATTAACAGAGAATTTTCTGACCCTTGCCTGAGCTCTAATCATGAAGAATTCCATAGTATTTCATATAATATATTTAAGTTTGATGAAACCAGAAATCTTAAGAAGCACCATGGCAGAAGGAATGGTGTACAAGGGCTGAAGGGGGGAAAACCAGAATAAAATGGCATCTTGTGGTATCTGAGGCAGCAGCAGCCATCAGAGTCGCTGTTTGTAAACTCATTTAGCAGAGGCCCTGTCTAGTAAGAGAACACACCATTCAGCAGTGCCCAGAACAGAAGGCCAGATGTAGATAACAACATTAAAACTTCCATTAGCCTCCGCTGTTAGCATGCAGGATAATGCTAAAAACAGCTTCCCTCATTTCCCCATTAACAACAGCTTCAGAAGTCTGAGCTGACGCCTGTAACACGCTAGTAAGAGCTACTATACATCATCTCTCCTGTATTAAGCTCATGGCTTGCTCCTACGTAACACTCTACAATATCTATTCTGAAGGTATGGAACCTCTTACTCCTCACACTACAGATCTTCAATATAATCACCTAAGTAATGAATTCTTACAGTATTTTCATGAGTCACATTCTCACTAAACTTTATATGCAAAATAAATAGAACAGGTTTTCTTTTACATACTTCCCCTTAGCAAAGGATGATCCCGTGAGTTGCCATTTGGAACTATCATTTTAAAAGAAGAAAAAACAAACAAGACATTTCCATAACTTAGAAGTTTACTGCATACCTCTTCTCTGGATCTATCAAATATCACAGGGGCCGTCACGCTTTTTGATTCCACTCTGGGAGCTACTAATGTAGTAGGTGTTACAGGAGTGATTGCAGGAGTAGGTTCTGGTGAAAGTATTGGATCCCTCTCTGGGCTGTCCAAAGACACTTCTTCTGTTGCTTCTAGATAAACATTTTGAGTCAGCAAAGTAGTTTTTGTGCAACAGAGATGCAAATTCATCACAAAAATAACCAAAGCACACTAAATAATGATGATATACAAGTTCAATATGATAATCTGTAAATAGCATCCATTTTTGTTGGATAATTTCATTACATAACTAAAACCAGATATGACATTTGAGCTTCTTGTGCACAATGGGTTAAAGTAAGATTAATATTGCAAATTTTTTTTAACATACTCTTAGGTAAAGGATCTTTTCAAGTGGTAAGTCATTTATTTCTGCATGAGATGTTGTGAAAATTAATGACATTTTACTAAACAAGAAGCTCTTTTTCAGCACCTTTACCGATTTTAGTTCTTGCACTGTGAACAACTTCCAGCTGATTTAGCCATACAGGCTGATAACTTTGCACATCAAGCCATGTGTTAACTGAAGTTACACAACCATAAGATGCCCCACCCCTGACAAAAGCCCAGAACCTATAAAATAGAAATACTAGCAGGTGAGACATCCTGACTGGGAGAAAAACTATCTTCAGTCTCTCTCTACCTTCAGCTTCGTTGGAGCTTAAAACAGCCCACCAGAAACCAAATACTTTCTTCAGACTGTAGACAATTCATCTGTCTTTGAAGAGGATGTAAATCGCTGCTTTACAAATCCCGTACGCTTTCCACAACTAACTGGTTTTGACCACTGGAAAACCACACACTTCCTGGGTATAAAGAAGTTCCTGTTCTAGTTCACTGCTGTGGTTCTCGCTAGATGTGCATTTTAAAGAATTCTAGTTCCTTAAAAAATAGCATTGACCACAGAACAGTCACTTGATACCAAAATTGACTTCTTAACTGATGACCTGCTGTGGCAAGTACCTTACCAAGCAGGTAAAAAGGCACTACTACAGATCCACTCCGACTTACACAAAGTTACCAAAATGCTGACTATTCAATTTGGAAAAGACCTGCTGTGCTTGCAAGTGCTATGTATATGAACCACTGAATTTTGAAAAGAAAATATGCCATCTTTTTTCTGAACTGTTTAATAGCTGGTGAATATAATGAATATAACTATTCCTAAAAGTTCAGGAAGGACAAGAGGAGTTTTAAAGATCAGATCTACTTTAAAATTTGTGAAATACTTATAGTGCATAAAAAAGCTCCTCATTTTCATCCAGCGTTTGTTGTTGGCCTCTCCAGAACAGCCTGTAATCTACTAGCAACATAAAAACAGAACTGGAAATACCATCCAATGAACCTTATATTTTATTACTGCAAACAGTAATATCATGATCTTTTATAATCAATATACCAAAACCCCTCAGCTTTATCCCTGCTGCCACTTAGAGCTACTCTGTTAATCAATTCTGTTTCCCATTCTTCTGTAACACTTCTTTTGCCAGTCCTAGATGTTACTCATAAATGAACAAAAACACACTTTATTTCATGGATGAAAATGACTGTACGCCTACATTTTGTTTGATACGGAAGCTCAAAATGAATTGAAAGAGAAACTTCAAGGTCACTATGCCTTAATCTGGTTTGAAGCAGATCATAGAATCATAGAATCA